GGGCATGTATGGCTGCCAATGGAACTGGTGGTTCTCTTGTACTGTATTTATTAATGATGTGACTGCTGACAAAAGCAGCAGGATGAATTCTGAAGTGTTTCGGGCAATATTATCTGCTCATATTCAGCCAAATGCTTCAGAACTCATTGGACGCCGCTTCACAGTGCAGATGGACAATGACCCAAAGCATACTGCAAAAGCAACCAAAGAGTTTTTCAAGGGAAAGAAGTGGAATGTTATGCAATGGCCAAGTCAATCACCTGACCTGAATCCGATTGAGCATGCATTTCACTTGCTGAAGACAAAACTGAAGGGAAAATGCCCCAAGAACAAGCAGGAACTGAAGACAGTTGCAGTAGAGGCCTGGCAGAGCATCACCAGGGATGAAACCCAGCGTCTGGTGATGTCTATGCGTTCCAGACTTCAGGCTGTAATTGACTGCAAAGGGTTTGCAACCAAGTATTAAAAAGTGAAAGTTTGATTTATGATTATTATTCTGTCCCATTACTTTTGGTCCCTTAACAAGTGGGAGGCACATATGCAAACTGTTGTGATTCCTACATCGTTCACCTGATTTGGATGTAAATACCCCCACATTAAAGTTGACAGTCTGCAGTTAAAGCACATCTTGTTTGTTTCATTTCAAATCTATTGTGGTGGTGTATAGAGCCAAATATGTTAGAATTGTGTCCATGTCCCAATATTTATGGACCTGACTGTATACCGTCTTTTATGGCAGGTCTGCTCTTGTCAGCTGCTAATATCTATTTACAAGCTGATGGATGTAAACAGACTTGTGTCCTCAGGCACTGATAGAGCAAAAACTTTTCAACAGGCTAGTTGTACAGAAGTCAACTGAGAGATCAACTTCTGTATAACCAGCATGCCCATAGATAGATTGAAATTCGACCGAACCTGAAAGAATTTCAAACTATCTATGGTCAGCCTAAAGTGATTGTAAACCCACATCTTGTAAAACAACCCATTCAGTTTAAAATAGAATTGAAAGTCAAACTCTTTGTGTATAGATAGTAAAAAAAAATCAATATAATACATTTTTTCACTTTTTTATAAGTGATCACAAACCCTCTGTTCTCAGCTGAATAGGAGCTGGGGGAGGACAAACAGAAGCACACTGATCTTTCCATTGAAAGACTGTACAATGTGGGGGGGGGGGTTTGTCAGCAGGCATCTGATCATTGGGGGAGAGCAGGCTGAGCTCCCAGTAGAACTAAAGAAATGACCATGGTGTGTTCTGCTGTCTAGTGTGGTCAGTTTTTAATAGGAAATCAGAGGGACTGGCAGGAACACCAGGGATTTCACACAAAGGAAGCAATGCAAAGAGAACAGAATACTTTTTCATACAAGTACATGGTACAGCAGGCACATATCAGGAATATGAAATGTTGGGTTTACATACTCTTTAGGTCTTTCAATAGCAGAGAGATCATCACTGTAACCCTAGCCTTATACAGGTTCCAAAGCTGAGAGCTGACCCTTTGACTTACCTAGAACAAATGTGTAGTTTGTGAAATTACCAGATTACATGCTTGCTTTGGGTCAGTGTCATCACTTGTGAACAATTACTTTAACTGCCCCAGATCTTAAAGTGGAAAGTAAGGGCTCGTTCACACTAGGCTGTTTTGCCAACGCTTGCCAAACGCCCCTATAGCGTTTGGCAAGCGTTGGTCCGGCATTTGCAGAGCGTTATTAACGCTCGGCAAACGCTCCGCAAACGCCGCATGCGCGGTTTAGCGGCGGTTGCTAGGCGTTTGCCGAGCGTTAATAACGCCCCACAAACGCTTATAATGCAGTTTGAGTGGTGTTTACCGCTCCGCAAACGCCCCGCAACCGCGTCACAACCGCACCCGCAAACGCCGGCCGGGCGTTTGCGGAGCGGCACCATAGACAAGAATAGGAGGCTTCAAAGCCTCCTGACTCGTCCAGAGGCGTCCGTTTTGCCGCGACGCAACGCGACGCGATGCGACGCAAACGCTCCCGTTAGAACAGCACCATGTGCTGTAATGTGCAGAATTGGCAGAGGCGTTTGGGAAGCGGTAAAAACGCTTTCCAAACGCCTCTCTGCCGCCTGCACACAAGGCTAGTGTGAACGTAGCCTAAGGGTGGTAGACAATAGCTGCTCTTCTTGAATCCTTTGACACAGGTATTTTTACTATTGACAGATTGCCTTTAACAGATGGCAAAGGCAAATAAAATACAGTCATGGCCGAAATTGTTGGCACCCTTGATATTTTTCCTGAAAATCAAGTATTTCACACAAAAAAGGTATTGCATTAACACATGTTTTGCTATACACATGTTTATTCCCTTTGTATGTATTGGAACAAATATAAAACAGAGGCAGAAAAGCAAATATGACATAATGTCACACAAAACCCCAAAAATGGGCTGGACAAAAGTATTGGCACCCTTAACTTAATATTTGGTTGCACACCCTTTGGAAAACATAACTGAAATCAGTCGCTTCCTATAACCATCAATAAGCTTCTGACACCTCTCACCCGGAATTTTGGACCACTCTTCCTTTGCAAACAGCTCCAGGTCTCTCTTATTGGAAGGACACCTTTTCCCAACAGCAATTTTTAAGATCTCTCCACAGGTGTTCAATGGGATTTAGATCTGGGCTCATTGCTGGCCACTTCAGAACTCTCCAGCGCTTCTTTGCCATCCATTTCTGAGTGCTTTTTGACGTATGTTTGGGGTCATTGTCCTGCTGGAAGACCCAGGATCTTGGACGCAAACCCAGCTTTCTGACACTGGGCCCTACAGTGCGACCCAAAATCCTTTGGTAATCCTCAGATTTCATGATGCCTTGCACACAGTCAAGGCACCCAGTGCCAGAGGCAGCAAAACAACCCCAAAACATCATTGAACCTCCACCATATTTTACCGTAGGTACTGTGTTTTGTTCTTTGTAGGCCTCATTCCGTTTTCGGTAAACAGTAGAATGATGTGCTTTACCGAAAAGCTCTATCTTGGTCTCATCTGTCCACAAGACGTTTTCCCAGAAGGCTTTTGGCTTACTCAAGTACATTTTGGCAAACTGTAGTCTTGCTTTTTTATGTCTCTGTGTCAGCAGTGGGGTCCTCCTGGGTCTCCTGCCATAGCGTTTCATTTCATTTAAATGTCGACGGATAGTTCGCGCTGACACTGATGCTCCCTGAGCCTGCAGGACAGCTTGAATGTCTTTGGAACATGTTTGGGGCTGCTTATCCACCATCCGGGACTATTCTGCGTTGCAATCTTTCATCAATTTTCCTCATCCGTCCACGACCAGGGAGATTAGCTACAGTGCCATGGGTTGCAAACTTCTTGATAATGTTGCGCACTGTGGACAAAGGCAAATCTAGTTCTCTGGAGATGGACTTGTAACCTTGAGATTGTTGATATTTTGCCACAATTTTGGTTCTCAGGTCCTCAGACAGTTCTCGTCTCCTCTTTCTGTTGTCCATGCTTAGTGTGGCACAGACAGACACACAATGCAAAGGTTAAGTGAACGTCTCTCCTTTTTATCTGCTTTCAGGTGTGATTTCTATATTGCCCACACCTGTTACTTGCCCCAGGTGAGTTTACAGGAGCATCACATGCTTGTAACATTCTTATTTATCCGCAGTTGTGAAAGGGTGCCAATACTTTTGTCCAGCCCATTTTTTGGAGGTTTGTGTGACATTATGTCGAATTTGCTTTCTTTCCTCCCTTTTTTTGTTTTGTCCCAATACACACAAAGGGAATAAACATGTGTATAGCAAAACATGTGTTTAATGCAATACGTTTCGTGAGAAATACATGATTTCCTGGAGAAATATCAAGGGTGCCAACAATTTCGGCCATGACTGTAAATACAAGGGTATGTCATATTCTTGTATGTTTCTTGTGTGGCTTTTGTACTTTCAGTGAAGGAACTGTGAGATTAATACAATATATCTTGGGTAGTTAACAAAGGCAGTATTCTGCAAATGCAAAACACTGAAATACATTGAGAATAAAAAAAAAACAAAAAAAACAAGCAATGTAATTGTGCACATGATTAAATGACTAACACAAATATGCCAAAGAGTCTATTTATCAAGCAGTGAATTTGACTTCCAAAAAACAATCTGGTGGTTAATCGGTCACTGTCATTTAAAACACATTAACCTAGAAATTGCATTTGCAGAGAATGTTTGCAGAATGTCATATTCACTGCTTAAATAAAAGAAATACTTCTTTGCTAAATCAATCCCAATTTAAAACAACTTTCAGCGTAAGCTGCACATGGAAGGGCTTGCACAAAGCAAATAAACAAAATGTATATATAAAAAAAAATATCAGGGATGCAGCGAGCGCTCAAACAGAATAAATTAAATAAATAATGTTATTATACCACCTGAAAATGCACCAACTTAGGAACCCCCAAAACCTAGTGGAAAATAATCAATAAATAGTGCTGCACTATTTATTGATTAAAGAAAAAAACACTGTCTAACAATTTGCATAAAACAGAAGTTTTCATTGCAAAACATTTACAAATAAAGGTGGAAGATGCACTGTCCCATCAGTGCTCCTCTGTATAGTGCAATTGTAACTCTAATCTTTGCCAGCCTCCATGTTGGAGCATATATAGCAATAGGTAAGTTAAGTGCGGGTATGTCTGGAGGGTTCCCATTTCTCCTTAGCATTTTGCCGACCCTCCACAGTACATTTACTGCTGCAGGTCAGCTCGTACAGGCACAATTAAGTACCTGTACATTGCAGCTTTCTATTGGGACCCAGAAGACTGTGCTGTCATTTGCTGCAGTCCAAGTCAATCAGCGGGTCCTGGTAATGATTTATGGCTGAAACCCGCTGATCAGCTCAGGGAATACGAGGAGAGAGCTCTGTCTTGGTAAACAACACAGAGCTCTTTTCAGACGGCAATGATGTGCTGTTTTTTTTCTCTTGCAAAGCAGAGAGTAAAAACCTGGCACATTGCTTAGTAAACTAGTACACAGTACACACACCAGGGGCGGACTGACAACTCATGGGGCCCCCGGGCAATAAGGGATCATGGGGCCCCTGTGTCCTTGCCAAAACTCAAAAAAGCCTATGAAATAGGTACCAGGGGCATCTCATGGGGCCCCCTACTGACCCCGGGCCCTCGGGCAGTGCCCGAGTTTCCAAATGGTCAGTCCGCACCTGGTACACACACTAAACTTTGTTAGGCACACATTTAACCCTTTGATCGCTCTAGATGTTAACCCCTTCCCTAGCCACTGTCATTAATACAATGACAATGTATATTATTAGCACTGATCACTGTATTAGTGTCACTGGAGATATTAGTGGCAATTGGTCAGTTCACCCCAGTGTCAGTTAGTGTCAGATTGCCCTCTGCACTATCACAGTCTCACTATAAGTCGCTGATCACCACCATTAATAGAATATAAAAAATAAATGACAATTCCAGTATCTATACCATAATATGTAGATGCTATTACTTTCGCGCAAACCAATCATTGTACATGTATTAGAATTTGTTTTTACCAAAGACATATAGCACAACACAATTACACAGTTATATACTTAGCAAGGATGAATAAAGACATCAGTCCATCCAATTCAACCTGTGTGGGTGTGTGTGTTCATGTGGGTGGGTGTGTGTGTTCATGTCAAAAACCTATATCCCTGTAGACTGTGTTCATCAAGATACCCGTCCAAGAGTTTTTTAAAACTATCAATGCTTCCTGTGGACACCACCAATTGTAGAAGTGAGTTCCACATCCTTACTGCTCTGACAGTGAACCCCCCCCCCCATGCAGTTTAAGGTTAAACTGCTTCTCCTCCATTTTCAATAAGTGGCCTCATGTCATCTTATATTCCCTGAGATGGAATAGTTTATTCCCTACGTTAGATTCACTGCTGAGGTATTTGTATATCACTCAGGCGTCTCTTCTCCAGGGAGAATAAGTTTAATGTTTGCAGTCGTTCCTCGTAACTGAGGTCCTCCAGTTCCCTTGTTAACTTTGCTGCCCTTCTCTGGACTGTCTCCAGATCCCTCCTGAGGACTGGTGACCAAAACTGGACGACATACTCCAGATGTTGCTGAACCAGAGTTTTATGAAGTGACAGGATTATAGTTTTTAAAGTAAATTCCCTTTTTAATACACGCTAATATTTTGCTAGCTTTGCTTGCTGCAACATGGCATTGCATGCCATTGCTGAGCCTGTCATCTTCTAGGACCCCAGATCTTTTTCTATCCTGAATTCCCCCAGACGTTCTCCCACCAGTGGGTAATTTGTGTTCATATTTTTAGCCTCTAAGTGCATTACTTTACATTTTTCATTTTGCCCAAAATTTATTATGAAATGTGATTTTTAAATTTTTTCAGTTTTTTTGTTTATATCACAAAAAATAAAAAAAAAACCCAGTTCAAATACCACCAAAATAAAGCTCTGTTTGTGTGCAAAAACGATATAAATAGCATTTGCATACAGCATTGCATGACCGCAGAATTACCAGTTAAAGTAGCACAGTGCAGAGCAGTAAAAATAGCCTGGTCATAAAGGGGGGTAAAATATCACAGAGCTTAAGTGGTTAGATGTGGGGACCACCAGACACCCTGCACAATGGCAGCTGAAGGCCAATTCCAGCAAGCTAAACAAAATGGCAACTGCCCTGTTTTATAGCTAACTTTTAGAGTACGGTGCACATGGAAGGGCTTTGCACAAAGCAAACCAAACAAAATGTATTTCCCAGCATGCTTAAGAAAAAAAAATTACATTAGCAACCTGCTGTGTAGGGGAGTCACTTTGGGTGGGGGGCCCATACAACCCAGATAACTTTGGAGAGGTGGGGAGACCCCTGTGTCAGCTTCTCATATCCCTCTTATGTGTAAATCACCCTGTGCCTGTTAGGGGTACAGGATGATCTGTCCTAATACTGTGTGGGCTTTGTCTCAGAATGTGTAGACATGTTTAGGAGATAGGTGGGGTGGGGGTTGTTGATTGTTTAATGTCATGTGGCTGCATCTCATTTTCTATTGTGTGTGTCTGGTTTGGGAGCAAACTATTATGGGATGTATGTGTTTATGTGTATTAGCTTAGTGGGGGGGGGGGGGTGTCTCCAGCAGCCCTCCCTCCTGACGGGACTGTCTGCTGGTGTGAAGTTTGAATACCTGTGTGTCTCTTGTTACTAAATGTAGATTTCCCCGCCCTGTGTCATTATGCAGGGAGGGGGGTTGTCCCCTGAGTGTATATATCTTGTATCTGTGTTCAAGTATAGTAGTCTACTTCCTGGTTTACTTCAAGACTGGTATCGTCTAGTCTTGTATTGTCGGTTGTGGTGTCTGTTGTCGGTGTTTGGACGGGGAAGCGGTATTCTAACGGAAGTACTCAAGCACAGTCTGGGTTGGTTCCGTTACACTTGGGTTAAAACCAGAGGTTTTAGTTGTTCAACAATTGCAAATATACACTATTGTCAGGGCTCCGGGAATGACCAGAGGTGTGTGGACCGACACAGGGAAACACAGACTTCAGGTATAGCGTGTAAACAAGATAATTTATTAAGGACAACACAAACATAAACGCAGTGCAACAAACCAAACCCAAAGCTAACACAAATACAACAAGGTGAAACAAACCCAAACCTAAACTGATATATATATATATGTATGTATATATTTATGGAGCTCAACGTAGTCAGGCGGGCCAGGTCGGTAGCTAACAGGCAGACAAGGTACAAGGAGTAGGCAGAAGATTGGTCAGGAGTAGCCGAGGTCGGTGCAGGCAGAGTTCAAGCAGAGTCAGTGTCAGGGCTCCCAGGTATGACCAGAGGTGTGTGACTGATGCAGGGAAACGCAGACTTCAGATATGTGATAAACAATACAATTTATTAACACTAACCATACAAACATAAACGCAGTGCAATACTAAACATAATACAGTGCAAACAAACCCAACCAATCACCCACAGATAACAGTACATACAAGCAAGCGTCGTCAGGCAGGCCGGGTCAATATCAATTGGGCAGGTAGGTACAGGGGGAGCAAGCAGAGAATGGTCGGGGTCACAGGCCAGGTTCAGCAGGTAGCAAGCAGCGTAGTACAGAGGGTCAGGCAGAGGGATGGTCAGGGTCACAAGCCAGGTATCAAAACAGGTAACAAGCAGCGTAGTACAGAGGGTCAGGCAGAGGGACAGAAACAGGATGCAGGACAGATACAGGGCCCAGGACAAACACAACACCAAGGCAGAGTCTGTGGGTCTGGCCATCCCTTAAATACCCCAGCATCATCAGTTCCAGGTGTTAGCTGGCTGAAAGGTTGAGTCTCTGATTGCTGGGAGCACCCGCTGGCCAGCCCTGGTACTGCAGATCAAAAGGCAGGTGAGTCCCACCATTGCTGGCCAGTCCATTCCTGACAGTACCCCCCCCTCAAGGAGCGGCCTCAGGACGCTCCAAACAGTCCTAGCTGGGCAAAAATGTTCCACCGCCCGGGTCTGGTAACTGGCGGGATATCAAAGACTGGCACACCGGGCAGGACTCCGGGCAGCGGCACACCGGGCTGACTCCGGGCAGAGGCACACCGGCTGGACTCCGGGCAGAGGCACACCGGGCTGGACTCCGGGCAGAGGCACATCGGGCTGGACTCCGGGCAGAGGCACATCGAGCAGAGGCACACCGGGCAGAGGCACACCGGGCAGAGGCACACCGGGCAGCAGAGGCACATCGGGCAGGACTCCGGGCAGAGGCACATCGGGCAGGACTCCGGGCAGAGGCACATCGGGCAGGACTCCGGGCAGAGGCACATCGGGCAGAGGCACATGGGGCAGAGGCACATCGGGCAGAGGCATCAGGCTGAATGCCGGCGTCCGGCTGAGTAGAGGCTTCAGGCCGAGTAGAGGCATCAGGCCGAGTAGAGGCATCAGGCCGAGTAGAGGCTTCAGGCCGAGTAGAGGCTTCAGGCCGAGTAGAGGCATCAGGCCGAGTAGAGGCATCAGGCCGAGTAGAGGCTTCAGGCCGAGTAGAGGCATCAGGCCGAGTAGAGGCTTCAGGCCGAGTAGAGGCTTCAGGCCGAGTAGAGGCATCAGGCCGAGTAGAGGCTTCAGGCCGAGTAGAGGCTTCAGGCCGAGTAGAGGCATCAGGCCGAGTAGAGGCATCAGGCCGAGTAGAGGCTTCAGGCCGAGTAGAGGCATCAGGCCGAGTAGAGGCATCAGGCTGAAGAGAGGCATCAGGCTGCATACAGGCATCAGGCTGAAGAGAGGCATCAGGCTGCGTACCGGCATCAGGCTGAGTAGAGGCATCAGGCTGAGTAGAGGCATCAGGCTGAGTAGAGGCTTCAGGCTGAGTAGAGGCTTCAGGCTGAGTAGAGGCTTCAGGCTGAGTAGAGGCTTCAGGCTGAGTAGAGGCTTCAGGCTGAACCACGGAAGGCAGGCTCACCGGTTTGGATACTGGCAGGATGGTATTGGTTGGAAAGAATTTTCGCTTTTTTCTGGTTTTAACTACTGGAGCACTGCAAGTAAACGCAGGTCTGCAAACGAATGGAGCAGCTGGAGACAGAGAAGAACTGGAGGATGGAACAGGAGAGGGAGCAGTTGCTACAGAGGGCTTTTTTACAGGGTTAAAGGCAGGATAGGTGCAGCGAGTGGGAACAGGGTACTGACATGCGGTAGATAGCAGGGCAGGAGGAGCTGTTGGGAATGCAGGAATAGAGTTTTGAGGAAATAGATTAGAAGCAGGACTGGGTCTTTGTAAGCTGACTGAGGCTGGGTGCAACAAATCTGTCCATGTCTGCAGTAGGGGTTGAACAAAGCTGAGCTTACACAAAGCCTGTCTGGTCAATGACTGCACTGCGTTTATACAATCTCTTAGTGTCTGTGGTGAACATGTGGAATAACGCTCCAGAAAGTAACCCACATCATCCTCTAATAACCACACCAGGGACTCTACCTGGTCTGCACTAAATGGTGGCAAAAATTCATCCCTGCATTCGGGGGGTACCAGATGAAACCAACTCAGCACAAACCTCAATCAATGGCTGCACCTCAGAGAACTCTGTGCCCTGATCTACTAGAACATGAGCGAGCCGTATACATTCTAGCAGTTCATCCCGGGTATACTCCTTCAGAGTTTGATAAGCATACTCCCTGTCATCAAACACTAGCAGATATAAAATATTCAACCTCATCAAGATCCATCCTTCCCATCAACAAGCCAAGATGGCTTCCCTGTGCAGCCACTTCTGGTCAGGATTGGCCTTGGTGTAATGTCAGGGCTCCCAGGTATGACCAGAGGTGTGTGACTGATGCAGGGAAATGCAGACTTCAGATATGTGATAAACAATACAATTTATTAACACTAACCATACAAACATAAACGCAGTGCAATACTAAACATAATACAGTGCAAACAAACCCAACCAATCACCCACAGATAACAGTACATACAAGCAAGCGTCGTCAGGCAGGCCGGGTCAATATCAATTGGGCAGGTAGGTACAGGGGGAGCAAGCAGAGAATGGTCGGGGTCACAGGCCAGGTTCAGCAGGTAGCAAGCAGCGTAGTAGTACAGAGGGTCAGGCAGAGGGATGGTCAGGGTCACAAGCTAGGGATCAAAACAGGTAACAAGCAGCGTAGTACAGAGGGTCAGGCAGAGGGACAGAAACAGGATGCAGGACAGATACAGGGCCCAGGACAAACACAACACCAAGGCAGAGTCTGTGGGTCTGGCCATCCCTTAAATACCCCAGCATCATCAGTTCCAGGTGTTAGCTGGCTGAAAGGTTGAGTCTCTGATTGCTGGGAGCACCCGCTGGCCAGCCCTGGTACTGCAGATCAAAAGGCAGGTGAGTCCCACCATTGCTGGCCAGTCCATTCCTGACAGTCAGGATCAAGCAGAGTCAGGATAAGGCAGGAAGCAGACAGGATGCAGGTACAGGGGCTCATGGGAACAATACACCAAGGCACTGACTGCAGGCCTGGCCATTCCTTAAATACACCTCCTGCAATCAGCCTCAGGTGATGGCTTGATTGCAGGAGTGAGCTTCTGGCTGCTGAGAGCACCCGCCGGCCAGCCCTGGTACTGCATCCCACACGACAGGTGAGTCCCACCACCAGTGGTGAATCCATTCCTGACAACTATATTGCCAAAAGTATTGGGACACCCATCTGAATCTTTGGATTCAGGTGTCCCAATCACCTCCATGGCCACAGATTTATAAAATCAAGCACCTTGGCAAAACACCTAGGCATACCGACTGCTTCTACAAACATTTGTGAAAAAATGGGTCGCTCAGCCGGGAGCTCAGTGAATTCAAGCGTTGTACCGTGATAGGTTTCCACCTGTGCAATAAGTCCATCTGTGAAATTTCCTTGCTACTAAATATTCCACGGTCAACTGTTAGTGGTATTATAACAAAGTGGAAGCAACTGGGAACAACAACAACTCAGCAACAAAGTGGTAGGCCATGTAAAATGACAGAGCGGGGTCAGCGTATGCTGAAGCGCACAGTGCACAGAAATCGTCAACTGCAGAGTCAATAGCTAAAGACCTCCAAACTTTATGCGGCCTTCCGATTAGCACAACAACAGTGCATAGAGAGCTTCATAGAATGGGTTTACGTGGCCGAGCAGCTGCATCCAAGCCATACATCACAATGTGCAATGCAAAGCGCTGGATGCAGTGGTGTAACGCACACCGCCACTGGACTCTAGAGCAGTGAAGACGTGTTTTCTGGAGTGACTAATTATGCTTCTCTGTCTGACAATCCGATGGATGTGTCTGGGTTTGGCAGTTGCCAGGAAAATGGTACTTGTCTAACTGCATTGTGCCAAGTGTAAACTTTGATGGAGGGGGGATTATGGTGTGAGGTCATTTTTCAGGGGTTGGGCTTGGCCCCTTAGTTCCAGTTAAGGCATCAGCATACCATGACATTTTGGACAATTTCATGCTCTCAACTTTGTGGGAACAGTTTGGGGATGGCCCTTTCCTGTTCCAATGTGACTGCGCACCAGTGCTCAAAGTGAGTTCCATAAAGACATGGATGAGTAAGTTTGGGGTGGAGGAGCTAGACTGGCCTGCACAGAGTCCTGACCTCAATCCGATTGAACACCTTTGGGATGAATTAGGGTGGAGCCTTCTCATCCGACATCAGTGCCTGACCTCACAAATGCGCTTCTGGAAGAATGGTCAAACATTCCCATAGAAGCACTTCTAAACCTTGTGGACAGCCATCCCAGAAGAGTTGAAGCTGTTATAGCTGTAAAGGGTTGATTATAATATTGAACCCTACAGACTAAGACTGGGTTGACATTAAAGTTCAAGTGTGTGTAAAGGCAGGCGTCCCAATACTTTTGGCAATATAGTGTATGTGGAATCCACCCTGACTTGTCATACCTGCCCATAAAATATCCATTGTTATATACACTATGTTCCAATAGGCTAGAGTTAGGACCACACTATAGAGAGGGCAAATGTTAAAAGCTTGAAAAAGCAAATGTTGTTCAAGTAAAATCATTTGAGTACAAGTTGGTAGACATTGCATTTTTTTTTTTTGGCTAGCTGGTAAATATTCTAGGAAATACACCTTCTTTTGTTTATACCACAGAAAGATGCACATGAAAGAATATACATTTTTTAAACATGGTTGATATCAAAGAGCATTTAATTGGATTGGCTGTTAAAATGCTCACTGCACATTCATTTATTATGCATGTGTGATTTTAAAAAAATATACTATAGGTCAAACACAGTCTAGACGATGTGGGAAAAATGAACAGATGTGAGTTAGTAATGCCCTACTTGGAGTGCATTCACAGAATACACAGGAGTGTAATAAATGCTAGCACCTGAAGCTTGTTTCACCATCTGCCCTATGGTGATTTGCTAACATAAGCACCTTCTACTCTGCAAACTAAAATGACACACAAATCACAATATATTTACAGATAGATGAATATAAGATAGATTGCTGGTCCCTGCTCTTTTTAAAAAGCTAGACAGAGCTAGATAATTTTTTACAAGCATGTTTTTCATAAAACAGTTACGATGACTATGCAATTGCTGGTTTATAGTTTCCACCTACAACATAGGTATGGAAAATGTGCAAAGGTGATTGAACATTTTCCAGAATGTCTAAAATCAAGAACAAAACACAGAAATGTTGATAAAAGCCCAGCCAGCTTTAATCTCTTTCATTGAGTTTGCATTACTGAAGAAAAAGATACTATCCAATGGCCATCAGTCGCTGATGATGCTACAAAAATAACCTTCACTGGAATAAAAAAGAAAAATAAATTTCCAATGTGAATACAGGATTGTGTTTTTTCTAACAGAAAAAGGTTAAAAATCAGAGAACTCCAACATTTTTGCTACCAGCTACATATCCAACTGTAAAAGAACTTCATTCTAGTCATAACTGCCCTTCAGTTACAGGGGTATGATTCCACATGATTGGCATACTAGGCTTATATTGTTCAGGTAAATGGGCATGCCGTTTTCTGAGAAATAGTACGAAATATAGCAAAAAGAAAAAGAAAGCCATATTAAAGTAGAACTAAAGACTTCATTGAGGTGGGAGGGCAATTTCCACGATGTGCAAGTATGTTGCATATACTACTTTGGTTTATCTTTAAATGCAAGCATACTGATAGATACTCTGATTGTGGAAGTTAGTACTACAAGTTTGCATCTCCAGTTTAAAAAAATGCCCAGCAGTTGTAAAAAATGTCTTTGGTGCAAAATTCACCTTCAGTTTGGTTGATGCTCAGCTCAGCTAAAGCCAAGCAAGAAGAGGAAAGTCCTGTGATGTGACATGATCAGCCAAAAGACCCTTGGAAAGAAAGTATGTATCATTTTATTTTTTAAAGAAAACTGAACTAAACTGAGGACAAGGAACTAGTCACCTGTGTAGCATGTAGGTTCCCTGTTCTTTTCCCCATTACTGACTTAAGGCACCTTGTCCCATACTTTGCCTTTGTATGGAGATAGCCATCTTGATAGAGAA